CTGTTTTATTTTCAAATAATCTGGGTGTGTGCCTTTTAGTTTTTTCCCCCTTGGTTCCCTGGGATCAACTTGGGGAATTGGCCGTTTTCAAAGACATTTTGTTGATTTGTCTTCTCGTGTGTCTGTTTGTTTTATAGGTTTGTGGGTTGAGTATAGTGGAAAGCTTGGTTGCTAGTTTGGAGACCTCTTTAGTTAATGTCAACTTTTCACTGGTCTTCTGGGCATGGCTATTAGCCTTTGCAACCATCCCAGGATCTAACCACCTCTGTTTACTTAAGATGGGACATTACTGTGTATTTCTGGCCGAGGCCCCACTTCTCCAGGAATTGTCCACAATATTGTTAATGACTCCAGGGCAATTATTTCTTGGCATCCCAGGAAAACCAATTAATAGCAACAGCTACATCACATTGGTAATAGTTAATAAAAGCAACTCCAATTATAATACCAAATTCAAACTATTGACAAAACCTAAGGACCACTAATTGCTCCACTTACTCACAAAAAAGAGATATATAAGTATAGTCTGAACACTGAAACAAGCCAAATATTGACCTACTATTGACCAACAGTAAATATGTACTAAATAGAACAATTTTATCTTTACTAGCAATAACAGTATTCAATAGCAGTAGCACAAATTTAATTAGCCATCTAGAGATTTATAAAGCTTACTAGTTATACCTGTGAAGGTAGTTATACAAGTAAAGGGACAGAAAATCAGAGAATGAAAAAAGCAAAAATGTTCTTTTCATTAAGTTTATTTGTACTTTTTAGGAATACAATCCAGTTACATTCATCATTAGGATCTTGTACCTTTACATGATGGACCTTGGTTCTTATGAAAACAGCAAAATTTGAGAAATTAATCAATGGAGTGTGAGAAGGAGGAGAGAAAAGTGCGATAGGGGTTCATATTGAGGAGTAAAAAGGAAATTAATTGAGTTAGAGAACAGGTGCAGGAAAGAATGAACAAGAAAAAGGAGAAAAAAGATAAACAGTGAGCAAAATAGAGGAAACCAAAGAAAGGTAAGAAAGAGAAAAAATCAAAAAGGAAAAAGAGAAAATGAGCGAAAAGAAATAAAGGGGGAGATGGGAGAAGAAAACCTCATAAACCTCCACAAAACTCAAAGCAGGTAAGATAAAAATAATTAAAAATACAAAAATCAAAAAAGACTGAGTCAAAGAAAAAAACTCCTGTGCTTTTTTTTAATGAGTGGTTTATTTCCAAGATCTTCAGTCTTGAGATCCAGGCATTTTCTCTGCCAAAGTTTAGGCCAGGTGGGTTTTTAAAGCAACTTCTCTGTACTAGGGGCTCCAATGTCCATTCACCCCAGACTGGTTACCATTGCGTCCAAGGAATGTCCTTACTCTTGCTCCTGTTGGTAGATAGGAAATACAATCAGCCCTTTGGTCTCTGCTGGATTTGGTCTGCAGGGTGGGGGTTTGAGTGGACTGTTGAATTAATATCACAGTCGTGGATGGCATCAGTCATGGGACTTAGTTGCTCCCTTTACTCCCCGGGTGTTATCCTCTTCCAGGAGCAGGTTAGTTGGTTAGTCCTTACCTCTGCTTCCCTGTGTCAAGGGGAAGCAAAATGTAGAGCTGGCTTGAAGTTGTTGGATGGTCTTGGCCTTGCATGGGGCGGGGCGACAGTGCCCTTTGGCACAGGTGTACTTGCTCACGTTGTGAGGGGTGCCATTCCACATGGGCCTGCTTGCTTGTGTTGGGGGAGGATTTCTTTGCATCTGGTGTGGGCCTGCTTGATCATATTTGCAGAATTATGTATCCTTTTGTATTTGAAATTCTCCATGTTTTGTACACTTATTACTTAATCTTATGAATTTATTGAGAATACTTTCTCTTGTGATCAACTTTTTCTTCATTGTATGTTACCACAAGAAAGTGTGAGCAAAGCAAAGGGATGTTGGACAAATTTTTGGTATGTATGGTGGAGGCTAAGGGTAGAATCCTTTAGTATTTTTAACTTTTAGGCCATTTTGTATGCTTCCTCTAGATTGTTCTGCCAGCTTTTAAGGTTTTTCAGTTTCTAGAGGTTTGCTTACCTGTCAGATCAAGATTATTTTATATGGGTAAAATTATAAACTAATTTTAGACAAAGAAAACAATGAGGTCACCAGTTGTTGCCATTATATATGAATTAGTGAATAAAATATTTGCTTTTTTGAAGTGATAATGAAGTGATGTTACAGGTTTTTTAAAAAATTGGCCAGCTTCCACATTGGCCTGAAAAAAATAAAAATATTGAATTAAATACTTTCATTGTAATTCAGCTTGAATGGACTATTGTAGGCCAAATTAATTTATAACAAAGACAGCTGGTTTAATGAAATGGTTTCTAATTACAATGAAACTTTTGTTAGTTAATATAAAAAACAATATGGAAGCAAATAGGGTTGTAAAACATATTAATCTGATTGACATTTATCACTAAAATATTAAGGAATGATTTCCTGAGAAGTAATGAACACTTTCAATTCTAGCATTATTGTGTCTATTAAAATTTTCAAAATTTCAAGGAAAATACTTGGAAAGACTTTAGTTATAGGGCTAGGGATGTGGCTCAGTGGTGCAGCACCTACCCGACAAGCTGAGGTCTGAGTTTGATTCCAGTACCCCCCCCAAAAAAGAAGTTATATAGTTCTGTGCATGTATGTCCCACAATGCCTATTTTTATAAACACATAATATTTTAGCCTCTAATGAGATCCTTATTCAGAACAAATCATCTGCTTTGCTAATATGTAATTATCTTGGTTGCTGGTGTTGTTAGCTATTGTGGACTGAATTGTGCACCCCTCAAAATTGATAGACTGATGTCCTAACCCTAATGTCACTTTATTTGGAGATGTCTTTAGGAAAGTAGTTAAGGTTAAATTAGGTCACACTGTGGAGCCCCAGCTGGAGTGGCTGTGTAGGGGATGGATGAGCAGGAGAGGACAGAAGAGGCAGTTGCCAGAGAAAGAGGGGCTTTGGGCTAAAAAAGAATGTTTAAAGCGTTTTAATAAATTTTTACAGTGTGAAATAGAATCTAATGCTCTATATTCTTTCAAAGCATTCTGTTAAATCTATAATAATCACCAATGGTTTGGATTTGAAGGTAATGCATTAAGTCTGGCCAAAGATGAAAAGTAGTCCTAGCGCTCGGGGAAGCTGAGGCAGGAGAGTCAAAAATTCAAACCTAACCTGGGCAACTTAGCAATTTAGTGAGACTCTGAAAAAAAAAAGATAAAAAGATAAAAAGGACTGGTCATACAGCTCAATATGAAGGTTCTGGGTTCCATCCCAGTACCAAAAAAGAATGAGGAAGAGAAGTAGGAGATGGAAGAAAAGAAAGAAGAGGAAGACAAGGCAGGGAAGGGAAAATGAGAATTGGAAGAAACAATCCGAGTGTAGACTTGACTAACTCTTCTCCCCACCCATGGTCAGCTCAATCAAAGTGTGTGTATATAAGAACACGGATCTTCTGATAAGACATATGTAGTGTCGGGGTTGTGACAAGATCCCTGTCTCTATTTGCTACATTTACCAAAGGGTGTACACAATTTAGAAGCATGTTTTTAAAATGTAGACTTGGGTATAATTTGTTCCCATAACCACTAATATTTAAATGTTCTTAGCCATTACTTAAGCTAAGCTAGGAGTTATCCCTACAATTGATTAGAGTACCCCATAACTTTTCACTTGGAATTCACGATGATATGGGAAAATAAGTACAACATTCTGAAGGCTTGGAGATTCTTCAACCTTCCAGTATTGCTCCAGTTTCTATTTAACCAGTTATGAGAGGCTTATTTTGTGTCATATTTAAAAACATTAAATACTTTTACATGTTAGCTAGTGACAGTGACAACATGCCTTTCCTAATTTTTCTTATCTGCCACATGTTTCCACCAGTGTCTTGTCAATTCTTGTTTGGTTTATCCCTCTACAGTGAAGGCAAAGAAAGGCAAAGTCATTTTAGATGTAGAAGACCATTGAGAACATTATAATTTTTTTTCCAAACAAGGCTTGCTGGAAATTTATTGTTTACTCCTTGCTTTATCTTCTATCATTCCTACAATTGCTACATATATATTTATTAATTTTCATCTACATATATTTTATTCATTAATGAATCTTCTCTTGTTTTGGGTTCTGGGAATTGAACCCAGGGCCTTAGCAAGCTAGATAACTGCTCTGCCACTGAGCTATACCTCCAGGGTTATTAGCAGTTCTTCTTAACATGTCATTTGTTAAAAAATTTTTTTCTATAGAACATCTTGGGGATTTTAACCATCTTTTGACCATGTACATTATTAATTCCTGCTAGTGATTTTGAAGTATGTCCTGCCAAAATAAGTGGGAAATTTGAGAAGTGAGTAGTAAAGATAATTATTAACCAGGTATACTTGAGGTTATGGTGTATGCATTGCCGTGGCAGATACTTCTGCCCAGTGTCAGCAGGCTGTAGCGGCACAAGCTTCTTGCCCTATCAGAGGTCGATCCTTCAACTGCCTAGAAAGGGGGATGGCAAGAAGCCAATAGAGACTTGTGTAGTTTCAAAGTATACATAGGGCCAGGAGGTCAGTGCCTCTGAGCGTGCAAGACAAAAGACACTCCAAGCTGGCCACTATTTATTGGGTTCATAGAGAGTATCAGATGACTCAGAGGGCAGTGATAATCCTAAATTGATGAGGATCTTATAATCAAAGTATCACATGTCTCGGAGGGCAGCAGTAATCCTATGAGGATCTTATGCTGATGAGGATCTTAGGTCAAGAAGTTTATGTTGATTAGGACCCTGAGATGAGCAAAACACTCTTACAGCAGTAGGTGGGATGTTTTAAGGAGGTAAGGAATTTGTCTCTCCCCACAGTGAAAACCTTTCTCTTTTTGTAGTACTACTTGATTCTCGAAGAACCAGGATGTCTTTAGCTGATGTAATCTTGCCCTTGAGTGTCACAGCATCACAAGACTATTGAGGCCTTAGACAGCCCTAATCTTAACTGCGAAATGATATTTTCCCCAAAATTGTGTAGAATAGCTCCTGACATTGCCCTTCCATAATATGGCTGTGTTACATTGGAAGTAGTCCAATCGGCTGAGTTCATTTCCAGCCAAGGTCAACTGATTCCAACTGAATTCTTCCCCTCTGAATTAACCGTTTGTTCTCTTCAGCAAAGATACACTTGTGCCCTCATTCTACAGTTCTGCCTGTTTGATACTTGTTATTAGCAGGTGTCCCAAGGCCTGCCGAGCTCCCCTCCTTCCCATGCTTATAATGAGTAAACACTGGGTGTCCTTGGTGTCTTTGTCTGTAGTCCAGAGTAGCTTAGATCAGCCCAAGACTCAGTTTCTCTCAAGTTTCTGTCTCTGTCTCTTTATTTCCCTCTGTCCTATCTCATGGACATCATACTGGCTCTCAGGAGACTGAGACCCATGGCCAGGGTTTCAATAATGCCTCTTATACATTGTTTGAGAAATCATTGCAGGAATCTCTTGGAAGACCTGCAAGCACTGCATGGGGACCAGGCTCTAAGGTGCACTATAAAAGTAGGGTTGAGGGAGTAGTAAAACTTCACTCATTTTCCTGAGCTGTAACCCTAGGAGGAAAAATTTCTTGTCTACCACAGTCTGGGCTATGTATGTCTTTATAGTGTTGTGTACAGGCCATGGTGGAGAGTTGGAAAATGAGAGGCCTGTCCCCTGAGAGAACCTTGCTGTCTTCATTTCCAGGAATGGTTATGGAGAGAAGAGCAACTAATCTCACTGGTAGGAGGGAAGGAAACCAAAGGGAGCCACAGTCACTGCATACCAGGTCAGTGCTCTAAAATAGCTGCTTGCATTTCATGGCCACTTGCGACAATCTACACAGAACTTGAAAACAAGTTGTAACAGAACCTTATTCAGTAGAAGCAAGGGCCTTCTAGGTATTTTTGCTTTTATTGTCTTCTCATGAAAAATCTGCATGCAAATGTCAAAGCATTTTATTACCTTTCATTCCTTTTCCCTCCTGTATTTCTAGTTGCTTTTACTCCACCCTTAATTTCTTCATTGAATTCCTTTTTCTGTGTTCTCAAAAGATATTTAGGTTATGATCTGTTGGTCTGTATTGGGAATTTTATTTATTATTATTTACATCTTAGTTAAAAAATTATAAACCATGCCAAAGCACGTTGTCTTATCACAAGAAAATCTAAATTTGAAGGCCAAAATAACATGCAATATAGTCTTGTACAGTCTAGGTAGTATTTCACCCATGAATAACATTGCTTTCTATGGTAAAATAAATTTTTCTCAACTCTTTCTACCAAAGCACTAATTTGTCATGAATTTCTTTTTCTTTTTTTTTTTTAATCTGGTACTAGAGATCGAACTTAGGATCTTTCACTTGGGAGGCAGGTGGCAGTGGAACCACTGAACTAAATTCCTGGCTGTCATGAATTTCTTGTTTCGACATTAAGTCAGTTGTGATTTCAGCTGGCTTTTGTTTTTGTTTTTTGGCAACCAGCGAAGAAGCATCTTTATATTTTAAAGCCAGACCTCAAGTGAGAAAGAACTATCTCTATTCACCCCTTCTCACCCACTGTTTCTCCCAGTAGATCTACTAAAAGTAGCAAGCAGTAGGGGGCTGGGGATTTAGCTCAGTTGTGCTGCTGCCTTTCTTGCAAGTGCAAGGTCCTGAGTGTGATCCCCACCACCACCAAAAAAGGAGCAAGCAGTAACCATGCTACAGCCTGAACATTCGAAATTTCCCCCACCAGGTTAATACATCCACTGCCCTTAATCTCAATCACCTACAAAGTTCCAAGAAAGAGAAAAATGAAGACAACTTTTCTGCCAGAGCATAGCACACATGGTCTGGAGTCCAACTGCCAATGGAATTTGCTCACCACATGGCATACAAGCAGAGAGCGAAGGAAGGAGAAAAGAAGGGTGATACATCTTTTCAGGTCATGCCTCCAGTGACCTACCTCTTCCAACCAAATCCTACTTCCTAATAACAAGCAACTATAATGCCTTGATAATCCAGTCATCTTCCAATCACATGAGGCTTTGGGGCCATTTTAGACCTAAACTATAATATTAAGTGATAGCCTTATTAATTCATGAAAAGCAATAGAAATAGCAATTTATATATAAAATTCATATGTACTCCTTTTCTGTTGCTGTCTAATAAGAATAAATATGGCTTTTACTGATGTCAACAGGGAGAGTTGCTGCAGTACAATTTATCCAACATGAGTGATTATTGTAGGTCTTATATGAATAGATGAGCTGTAGATACATTTATGAATTTGAATATCTGTTTACACAAGCAGCTGAGTGTGGTGGCTAAGGAGTCTGTCTTCTCTGTAACACTGGATCCACTACTTACTAGCTGTGTAATTTCAGACACTCATCTGTAAAGTGAAGATCAATAATCACATTAACAACTCCATAGATTGTGGTGAGGATTAAATGCATTAATAGTAAAGCACTTGGAACAGCGCCTGGCACAGAGGAAATGTTCTACAAATGTCATCCATTGTTTTTACTCTAATAGGGCCCTGGGCTTTTAGCCAACTAAGCATAATAATATTGAATCTCAGACACAGGGGAGAATTTTTGTCAGAAATATACCAGAGGTTTACTATGTGCAGCTGTGGGGGCCCGGGAATTAAATACCACATTTGTAGTCTTTAGGGTGAATTTCAGTTAGGGTGCTAAGAATCATATTACTTTTCAATTAATGTTAGGAAATAACTCTTAATCTGGCACTGTTAACATATAAAATAGTAAAAACCATAATTCATAGTTTTCTTGTATGTTAGCTTCCTACAGACTTCTTTTCAAAAGATACATTTGGCTTTTTAATATATTTTGTCTTAATCTAGCTTAAAAAAAAACAGATGGTAGAGTAGGAATAGTTGATAGAAGCTTTTACTATGTGGAAAACCCCAGACTATAAATCTCCACAGTGTTATTAATAGGCATAGAGTAAACAACAGTTTTTTGGACTTTATAGTACACTGTGTAGAAAAACAAGAGTATGACATCTTAATTTTTTCACTGGGTAATTTAAAACCTAGTTATGTGGTGAACACCAGCTATACATACCATGTTACTTGAATTCAGCATCAATTAAAATTGTAAATAAGCCTTGTCATATGTTACCTTTCAAAGCTGATACTTTTAAAAAAAGTGTCCACATCAACACAATAGCATGAATATTGCCATAAATATTTTAACTTTATGATTTTTTAACATTTCAAATTCTGAGTTCTACTCTATTCAGATGAACTCTAATATAGCTAACACACAGGTGCTATTTTAGATGTCAGTAGGTTTAATTCTAAGAGAAAACTATATAAAGTAGTTGCAGCTTTTGAATGGCATAACCTCAAGGAAAAAAAAGGAGGGGTAGTACCAAAAACTTAAATATATGATGCTATAGTGTCCTTTGTGTAGCATTTCTGTTGATGCTATCTTTTAGCAGTTACCTCATACTATTTTTGCTCTGTTATTACATTTATTTGAGATAGGATCTTACTATGTAACCCGGGATAGTCTAGAACTCTTGGTCCTTCTGCCTCAGCTTCCCAAATGCTGAGATTACAGGCGTGCACCACCACAACCTGCACTGTACCATTAAAAAAAAATCATTGTAACTAGATAAGAGCATTTTTCAGAGGACAAGGCTCCAGTTGGCCTGTTTCTGATGGCTATTAATCAGTAAAACTGTTCTCCTTCTGCTTCTGAGGGAAAGCAGCAGCAATGGAAAAGTAATAATGATTTACAGCATAATTCAATAGCCAAGCTATCCAAGTAGAACTAAGCGAGTAAAGGAGGGCCTAGGGGCGGGGCCTCAGGGGTCCTGGGCGGAGCTCCTGGGAGACCCTCAGCTTCCTAGGGCTTCTTCTGGCAGAGTTCTCCCGGCCGGCGGCGTTGGACGTAGGCGTAGTGTGCTGCCACCTTCAGAGCCAGCGAGCGAGCGTAGAGCCGAGATCCGGATGAGACCTGGAGAGGATCGGCCCTTGGAGGGTGGCGCGCCCGATGGCGTCTCCGAGTTGGAGCTGCTGGAGCTGCTGGAGCTGCTGAAGCTGCGCGCGGCGGAGCGCATCGACGAGGCAGCCGAGCGGCTGGG